ATGATGCACTGGAACCCTGAATCCCACCAGGGCAGAGTTTAGGTCCTCCAGAGACTCTTGGGTTTATTTATTTTTTCTTTCTAGTTCTTGTGCTAGGCTAAACTATGGCATAGTTATTATTTTTAATTTCAATTAATATCTTTTGTTTTTATGTCTCGTTTACTTCCCTTCAAATCCTTCTCCACTATCACAAAGAATAAAAAAGTTTTGTTTTTTCAAAAGGAATTCAGCAAAACTAACAGACACGTTAAACCAAGTCTGACAATCAATCAACATTATTGAGAGCCTACTATGTGTCGGGCACTGTTCTAAGCACTGGAGATAGAAGAAGGGGTAAAAGACAGTCCCTCAAGGAGCTTACAATCTAGGGGAGGGGGGAAGACAATATGCAAACAAATATACACAAAGGAAGCTGCATGTGGGATAAATAGGAGATGATTAACAGAGGGAAGGCACTGGAATTAAGAGGGATTGCGGAAGGCTTCCAGTAGAAGGTGAGATTTTATTTGGGACTTAAAGGAAGCCAGGGAGATCAGTAGCTGGAGCAGAAGAGAGGAGAGTATTCCAGGCATGGGGCACAGCCAAAGAAAATGCCCAGAATTGAGAGACAATGTCTTGTTTGTGGAACAGTCAGGATGCCAATGTCACTAGGTCAAAGAATACAAGAAGACTGGGAAGGTAGGAGAGGGCTAGGTTATGAAGAGCTCTGAATGCCAAACAGCATTTTGCATTTGCTCCTGGAGGTAATAGCGAACGAGTGGAGTTTACTGAAGGGGGGTGATCAGACCTGCATTTTAATAAAATTACTTTAGTGGCCAAATGGAGGCTGAATTGGAATGGGGAGGGGAGACTTGAGGCAGGCAGACCCACCAAGCTGGTTAGTGTGTTAATCCAGGAGTGAGATGATGGAGGTCTACACCAGAATAGTGGGCTTTGCCACTTAATTACTTAACTTTTGCTTTGTTTTATTCATCTCTAAAACAAGGATCTAATGCTTGTACATACCTCTTAGGGTTGTTGTAGAAAAAGTGCTTTTCAAATCTCTAAATGCTATATAAATGAAAATAGCATTCGTTAGCTGATATTTTTGGTGATTCCATAGTTTTGTACATCATTCTCCAGCTAGGAGCCTCACTTGTGAGAGAAAATGTCTCAGGGGCTACATATCCTAGCAAGAAGTTGCTAATAATGTATATAAATGGTTAATTTGGTGATGAGTTATTATAGGCAGAATGTTTTTATGTCAACTGTTTTTCATGTTTATTCCAAGTACCCGCATTCCCCCCTCAAATAGATCTACCTCTGCTTTCCCTATTTATTCCTATTATGCTTTTGAGGCTGTGCATAATTGTGAACAATTATGAAGAGTCACATCATTGGGTGGGGGTCTCATATGTGATCAAGCTCACTCAGAGCCTGCCCCTAGCTCCTTTACATTAGTAAGAGTTACATTTGGCCGCTATGCTTCCTAAAATCTCAATTATGTGACTACTAAATTATACTTCTTATCTTGATTAGAATCAACATTTATGCATTACATATGGGAAATACATCTCTGGTTGGCTTGCAACTGGGCTATCAAAATGTGGCATGGAATCTATGTGTAACATGCAATTCTACTAATGGGCGGCTTGGTGGCGCACTGGACAGAGTGTGGGGCATGGAATCGGAGTTCAACTCTGCATTCAGACACTAGCTATGTGGCTCTGGGCCAGTCACCTAACCCTGTTTGCCTCAGTTTCCTCATTGTAAAATTATCTGGAGAAGGATATGGTAAACCACTCCAGTATCTTTGCCAAGAAAACCAGGTCACAAAGAGTCAGACAAGGCTGAAATGACTCATCAACAATATCAACAACTATTGGAGCTGGGGTCAGTAAATGTGAACCTAGGCAAGTCACTTAACCACTCTCAGCCTCATTTTCTCATCTACAAAATGGGGATAATAATAACATCTACTTCTCAGGATTGTTGAGAGGATAACATTTGATATTTGTAAAATTCTTTGTAAACCTTAAAGTGTGATTAAAATGGTAAGTTATCATACTGTTGTTTTGAATCTTTGCTTGCAGTTGTTATAATTATATAAAGTGCTATATACTATTTATTATCAATATTTATTTTAATATGTTTTAATTAATATTTTAATATTAATAATCATTAACACTATTATTACTACTACTACTATCTCAAGGTGAAGATAATGCTAAAAAGGCAAATTTCCCTTTGATACAAATCACATCTGTGCCTTGAAACTGAAAGGCTTTTCTGCTAAGAGAGTAAATTTGCTTAATCCATAGTACTAAGTAGGAACTCTTTTAAAAATTTCATGTTTGATAGCCTACATTGAATTTTTTTTGGGAGGAGGGGTTGTGATCTTTGTTTGCTTTTATGACATTCATTTTTAAAATTTTCAGTTCCAAATTCTCTCCCTCCCTCCAGGCCTTCCCCCACCCATTGAGAAGGCAAACAGTATGATACCTATTATACATGTGAAGTCATGAAAAAAATATTTCCATATTAACCACTTATATTAAACTTTATATGGAGATAAGAACAATTTATATTCAGAGTTATTTTATGGCCTAAGGTGAGAAAAATGGGAACTATGTTTAGTCTTGTTGGGGTAAAGGTCACTGTACAAAGTTATATAAGATATATGCCTTCTATGCCTTTGTTGGTAAGGTATGATCAACCTACCTGCCTAGCCAACCCAAAGTATCTACGATTTTACAAAGCATATCGGATAACAACTTAATGGGGATGTTGAATGAGATTCTTTTCTCTCTTCCTAACTTCCCTATTGCTATTGAGGAACCACCATTCTTGTAGTGACCCAGGTATCCAAGCTAGGTGTCAATCTGGACTCTTTTCTGTCTCTGTTTCTCTCTCCCTCTTTCTCTCTGTCTCTCTGTCTCTATCTCTCTTTGTTTCTGTCTCTCTTCTTCCCTCTCTCTCTCCCCCCTTCTCTTTCTCTGTGTCTGTCTGTCTCTGTTTTCATCTCTATCTCTCTCCTTCCCTCCCTCCCTCTTTCTGTCTCTGTTTCTGTATCTGTGTCTCTGTGTCTCTGACTTTGTGTCTCTGTTTCTCTCTCTGTCTTTGTGTCTCTATCTGTCTGTCTCTGCCTCTGTCTTTCTCTCTGTCTCTGTCTCTCCCCCTATATCTAATCTGTTGCCAAAGCCTGTAGATTCTACCCTTACAGCATCTCTCCCCTATGTCCCCTTCTCTCCTCTGACACTGCCACCACCCTAGCACAGTCCCTCATCACCTCACCCCAGCCTATTATAATAGCCTATGGTGAGTCTGCCTCAAATCTCTTCCTTCTCCAGTCCATCCTTTATTCAGCCATCACAATGATCTTGCTAAAGCACAAAGCTGACTGTATAACACCCCCCTCACCCCATCCCTTCCCCATCCCTTCAATAATCTCCAGTGACTCCCTATTACCTCCAGGATTAAATATATAATGCTTAGTTTGTCTTTTAAAGCCCTTCAGATCATGGCCCCCTCCTGCCCTTCTCAAACCTTACTCAGCTCCACATTCTCTGTAATTAGTGACTGTCCTCCATGCTGTTCCTTGAACAAGATGTTCCATGCCCTGCTTGTGTATTTTCACTGCTTGTCCCTCATGCCTGCACTGACCCTTGTCTCTGCCTGCAGCCTTCCCTCCCTGAGTTATGTTTACTCTTTGCTTGGATAAAAGTGTTTGCTGACTATTTGACGTTGTTTTTGGGTGACACCCATTAGATTGGAGGAAGCAAAGCTGTCTGAGAGTCTCAGCTAGAACCACACCTTCTGCAAGAAGCCTTTCCTGGTCCGTGTCAATGTTAGTGCCTTCTCTCTGGGATTATCCAATTTATCCTGTATACCCCTTGCTTGCATGTTGTTTTCTCCATTAGACTACAAGTTCCTTGAGAGCTGGGACCATGTTTTTGCCTTTTTTTGTTTCTCCATCACTTAGCACACAGTACCTAGTACATAGTAGGTGCTTAAGTAAATGCTTGATGACTTGACATTTCTATGTTAAGGTCATTTGATTTTGTCTGGAATCTGTGGTTTCTCTATTCTAAATGGAATACCTGTATTTGTTTGTCATCCTCTTCAAATTTTGTATGTTGCTAATGATTTTTCTAGGTAGCTAATAATTTTGCAGGCAGAAAGGTGGTGTAGTGGATAAAACACCAATCCTGGAGTCAGGAAGATGTGAGTTCAAATCTGCCCTCAAACACTGACCCTGGGCAGGTCACTTTGTTGGGGTGCTTGGGTGCTTGTGCTTGGACCCCAATTTCTCCCTGGCCTCAGAAACACTATCCCTGGCAGTATCCCCCCAGCCCAAGGACACTGTGCTTAGCAATTACTCATGAGCAAGCCCCAGCAAAACACTTATCACTCTTCCTGTGCAGTTACACAAAGCTGGGTGAGAGAGTGAAGGGCTATTCAGGCCCCAGCCCTAAGATCAGGTCTCTGGAAGCCTCGCAATTTCTTAGTAGGCTCCTGTCCTGTGAGAAAATTTTCTCTTGTTGCAGAGCATTCTCTAATCAGGACAGAGAGAGGGGTGCCTGGCCCAAGGATTTTTGTCCCTGGCTGACCCAAGAACTCTTCCTCCTGCTAGATCCCCAAGGTCCATGCCTCTGACAGCTCCCTCAATGTCTTTCCCATCCATGGCTCCCAAAGACACCTGGACCCCTACATTACCTAATTAGTACCCCTGGCAGTCCTTTTCCATTCCCCTTTCCATATAAACCCCAGCTCCATCCTCAGTCTCTTGCAGATTCCTTAAGAATCCTTGCCTTCTATATAGCATAATAATAAATCTTTGCCAACTTGACTCAAAGAATGCTTGAGTCTGCGAATTTATTCCAGATGACCCCGTCCTGTACTCCAGTCTTTGAGGGGTCTGAACCTCTCAGACCGCAACAACTTCACCCTGTTTGCCTCAGTTTCCTCATCTGTGAAATGAGCTGGAAAAGGAAAGAGCAAAGCGCTTCAGTATCTTTGCCAAGAAAACCCCAAGTGGGGTCACAAAGAGTCAGACCTGATGGAAAAACAACTGATCAACTGAACAACATTTGTGTAGAAATCCTAGGTGAGTGCCTGGGAAATAGAACTTAAAATTAATGTGCTAAAGGGGAATATTGTATTGAATCTTTGGATAATAATTGGATAAAAATACACTGCCTTGAATACCTTTTTATATGTGTAACCTCACCCCTGCTTAGGCTTTGGGTATTTCCAAGATAGCCTGTGATGCTGCAGGCATATACATGGAGAGAGGTATGAGTCCCAGTTGGGCGAGAGACTATTAGCAAAGATGCTGGGTACATGTGGAGAAAGGGCAAAGAAATGGAGAGATAATTTGAGAGAGATGGGTAGAGAGCAGGATAAACTTTTGAAAGGCTAAAAGGAGCACTTGGAGCTTCAGAAACGTGGGAGAGCCAGCCATTCCTCCACCCCCAATGTGTCTCTTGATTCCAAGCACCTGAACTCCCAAAGATTGCCAAGAGTGCATGTGACTTCCTAGTCAGGTTGTTCTTACCTTGAAGGGGCTGAGATACTGTCTCACTCTCAAGTCAAAGGGATCACTTACTCTAGTGTTTTCTAATATTTGCTCTAATCTATTTGCTTGGGTAAATGAGTTTTCTCACAAGATTGTTTTGTGTGTGTGTGTGTGTGTGTGTGTGTGTGTGTGTGTGTGTGTGTGTGTGTAGATAGTTTGGGGTAGTTTTTGGTGGGTGACCAGAGAGTAAGCTAAGTATTATTCTTCCTTTTAGAACAATCAGGGAAAATGTAATTATTCCTGATCCCCCAAAAGAACTATATTCCTAAATTACAAATACTTGTTACGTGGTATCTAAGACATAATTGTAGCCAGGGGTGGGAACCTGAGGCCTCGAGGTTCTGTGAAATTTGGATTCAGTCAAAGGGCCGCACATGAGGACCTAGAGGGCCACATGTGGCCTGGAGGCTGCAGGTTCCCCACCCCTACCCCAATATCCCTCTGGGAGATAGGACAAGGAAGGAAAGCTCACCTAGCCATGACTTTCCCAGATCCTGGGTTAGTGACTCATTTGGCTCAGCTGCCAGATGTTAACTCTGATATGTAGTCCATTTCCTGGACCCTCGATGACTTTCTCTTCCAACTTTTCAAAATTTCACAAGGCCCTGTCCCAAAGGAAAGAAGATACAAACAGGAGGCGGGCCCCACCCCAGACGTAGGTTTACCTGGAAGGCCATGGGCTCACCAGCTTCGTGGCAATTCTGGGTAAGGGGAAGAAAGCAGGGGAAGCACCAATTATGTGCCAGGCACTTTACAAACATTATCTCATTTGATCATCACAACAACCCTTGGGCATAGGTGCTATTATTATACCCATTTTACAGTTGAGGAAACTGAGTCAGGTCTGTCCTCTATCCAGAGATCCACAGCAGTTTAACCATATCCATTGAACACAAATGGGGAGAGAGAGAGAGAGAGAGAGAGAGAGAGAGAGAGAGAGAGAGAGAGAGAGAGAGAGAGAGAGAGAGAGAGAGAGAGAGAGAGAGAGAGAGAGAGAGAGAGAGAGAGAGAGAGAGAAGAGAGAGAGAAAGGTTAATCTGCCCAATTATGGACATCCAATTGATGTCCAGCTGAGCAGTGGTTCAAAAGGCCCCTCTTCACCATACACTAACCAGACAGGAAAGAGTCAGAATACCTGTGCATACCCTGAACTGCAGAGTAGGGCGATACATTGCACACTCCCGGAAGCAAATTTTTACACAGGGTATTGTAACAGGCAAAAGGTACTGATAGGGTGCTGGGGTCCTAGCCCTATGATCATGTGTCTGGAAGTCTCCCAATTTCTCAATAGGACCTCGTCCTATGAGAAAATTTTCTCTTGTTGCAGAACACATTCTCTCATCAGAGGGGTGCCTGGCCTAAGGATTTTTGTCCCTGGATGGCCCAAGGACTCTCTTTCCCTCCAAATCCCCAAGGTCCATGGCTCTGACATCTCCTTTAATGTCTGGTATACTTCCTACACTTTCCCATCCATAGCTCCCCAGGACACCTGGACCTCTTAGATTACCTAATTAGTATCCCTGGTATTCCTTTCCCATGCCCCTTTTCCATATAAACCCCAGCACCATCTTCACTCTCTCAGATTCACTAAGGACCATTGCCCACTTTTGCTAAAGCATTACAACATAAATTTTTTGCCAGTTGACTAAGAGAAGGATTGAGTGTGTGAATTCATTCCTTGGAATTCTCTGGGTCCCAGCACCCCCAAACCTCTTCAGTACTTTGAATGCTCCTCAAGTCTGGGCTATCATTGGCTAGTTGTCTGTTATATGTAGTAACATTTTCAATTTTCTGCAATACGTCTAAGTTAAAGGCGTCCCTTCTCAGGCCTAGAATCACCATGATAGGACATCAAGGAGAGAATAGAAGGAAATATGTTAGAAGAGAGTTATCTATAAGTACCTAGATAGCATTACTGTTAAATGTCAGGACCATCAATTGTGGAATCACAGATTCCAACTGAAAAAATAGGGTCATTTTTCCTCCTCTCTAGAAGTTACTATTAAAATAGAAAAACAGAGTACTTGGGCTAGTAACTTCTTCCTTGCCCAAGAATGGGAAAATTATAATACAGTAATAAATATTTATTAAGTGCCTACTTTGTGCTGGGCGATAGTGATACAAAGGAAGACAAAAGACAATCTCTGTTTTAGAGGAGCTTGCAGTCAGATGGGAGAGATGATATGAAAACAACTACTTACAAACAAGCTATATGCAGGATAAACTGGAAATAATCAACAGAGGGAAGACAGTAGCATTAAGGAGGACTGGGAAAGGCTTCCTGTAAAAGGTGAGTCCTGAAGAAAGCTAGGAAAGCCTGGAGGCAGAGATGAGGAAGGGGGGGAATCCCAGGGATGGGAAACAATTAGTGAAAGTGTCCTGAGTCAGGAGATGGAGTTGTTTGTGCAAAGAACAACAAGGAGACCGGTGTCACTGGGTCACAAAGTACATGGAGGGGTGTAAAGGCTGGAAAGGGAGGTGGGAGGTTTGGAAGGGCTTTGAACGACAGAGGATTTTGTACTTGATCCTGGATAGGGGGCCATTGGAGTTGATTGATTGAATGGGGGATTGACTGAATGTGTTAGCACAAGACAGCCCTCTTGCATGTAGCCAGTCCTAAAGCCAGAGTTGATGCAGGGAATCACCTTGTACTACCCTCCCTCAGCCAGGACCTGCCCTGCCTGAGGAGGAACACGCAGGGATGGGGGTGGTGAGAAGAATCTAGGCTCCAGAGATATCATTCTTTGGTAAATTTCGATGAAGACTGGAAAAGATGGCATGATCCCATGGGACTATCTGGGAAAGCGGCTTGAACTTGGGAATGGGAAAAGTGAATACAATTCACCACCATCTTTGCTTCCTTAAAGGCCTTTGTGAAGAATTTCCCCCTTCTTCCTTAGCAACTGGGTAAACAGAAAGCAACCCACCTCTTAAACATTTCACTCCTTCATCCTCTAAGCCCTTCCTGGGAAGGAGCTGTCTAGCAACCACTAGGTAGTGTATAGGCAGCAACGTGGAGGGACCTCATCCTTTTTAATTTTTTTAATTTGTATTTAAAAAATTTTTTTTCCTTGTCCTTTTTTAGATGACAGTAAACGAAGGGCTATGGGAGATGTGACAGACCAGTGCCTGGTCTCCTGGGGGCCCTGTCACCGCCTACTCTGATGATCCTGGAGTCTTTGCTGCCGCGTGCTGCTGCTACTCACTCGGCCAGGGCCAAGGGTTGTCCCCCTTTCTGGGATGAGGCCTAGCAATGTCTCCTAGTGCTGACTGAATATTGACAGGAGTGCTGGACCCCTTTGCCAGGGCTTAGCGATGCCCTCCTATGCCAAGGATTGAGTGCTCTCCTTCTAGGATAAGGTGAAGGCATTGCCTCTGGCATTGCTGTTGCTGGGGTCCATGTTCTACCCCTCTATGCCAGGCCAACCATCCCCAAGGGTGCTGCCACTATCCCTTTGTCCTTAGCCATCCTGGGCTCCACTCTTCAAGGGCACCTCACTGACTTCCTCGTGGGAAGCCCTAAAAAGAGAGTTATAGAGAGAGCAGCGTTCATTCCCCAGCCCCAATCCTCAACATCTCTGTTCTGATCAAGCATTATCCTTCCATGTGCCTTACACCAAAGAGTTCCAATGAAGTCCACATTGTACAGTTCCCATTGGGCTCCCGAATGCCATTTTAAAAGTCCTAAGTAGTTCTTTTGGAGTAATTCTTTTTTTAAAAAATTAGTTTATTTTGAATTATCAACAATTACTTCCATAAGCTTTTTAGTTTTAAATCTTTTTCCCCCTCCCTGTCCACCTCCCTCCCCAAGACGGTGTGCAATCTGATATAGGCTATACGTATATATTCCTATTAAATATATTTTCACATTAGTGATGTTATAAGTAAAAATTAGAACCTATAGGAGGAACTACCAGAAAGAGGAAACAAAACACAACCGAAGGAAAAAATATAGCAAACAGTATGCTTCAATCTGCATTCAAACTCCATAGTTCTTTCTTTGGATGTGGATAGCATTTTCCATCATGAGGCCTTTGGAGATGTCTTAGATCCTTGTTTTGCTGGGAAGGGTTAAGTTTATCCATATTAGTCATCACACAATGTGACTGTTACTGTGTAGAACGTTCTCCTGGTTCTGCTCATTTCACACAGTATCAGACCATACAAGTCTTTCCAGGTTTTTCTGAAGTCTGCCTGCTCATCATTTCCTATAGCGCAATAGTATTCCATTACATTCATATACCACAACTTGCTCAGCCATTCCCCAATTGATGGGCATCCTCTCAGTTTCCAACTCTTTGCCACCACAAAAAGACCTGCTATAAATATTTTTGTACATGTAAGTCCTTTTCCCATTTGTATGATCCCTCTGAGATTCAGCCCCAGAAGTGCTATTGTTATTTTTATAGCCCTTTGGGCATAGTTCAGAATAACTTTTAAACAATCCCAAAATTCCAGTCCATAGTGAATAGCTGGACCTATCACAGCTGGTGGGCCTGGAGATCACCATCACTCCCAAATACAAAAATTATGTAAATTCAACAAATAATACTTTACAGTATTTATCATCATCGGGAAACAGTTCTTAGAGTTACAGAGCATATTTCCATCTGTCTCTAGTTACCAAATTACAGTAGGTGGTTTGCTCTCTAATCCTCTCTAGGTGAATGGGGAATTCCTTACAGTAGGCAGCTAGGGTTACCAGGAGCAGAGCCAGAAGCAAGGAGGCCCTGTGGGGCTCCCTTTTTTCTGAATAGCCTTCCCTCACTTCAATGAGGACATTCCTCTCTATTGCTACAAACTATGCCAAATGTTGTAGGCTGTGCATGACTCAGGTTAGTCTAGTAGTTCAGGTTAAAGATTGAGAAAGCCTACAGAGGTGAAACCAACAGCCTATCTGCCACTTTGAGGACTTTTGTAAACGTATAGATTGGTTTTTGGTTTTTTTTTTAGGCAACTGGGGTTAAGTGACTTTGCCCAGGGTCACACAGCTAGTAAGTGTCAAGAGTTTGGTCTGAGGCCAGATTTCAACTCAGGTACTCCTGACTTCAGGGCTGGTACTCTATCCACTGTGCCACCTAGCTACCCCTAGATTGGTTTTTCTAATACTGAATATTGTCCTTGCAGAATATATCCTTGTAATTATTTGCTGAATTATTTGATGAATTGAGACTTCCCCTTGTAGAATGACCAATATAGTTTCAAGATTTTTAAAGGAATTTATTCACAGATTTGTATACCTTTGTCTACTAGTACAAACACAAAATTGAGAGGAAAACTGTAAGCCTTTGCCTATTCAGTAGCAGTTTCCCTGCCCACAACACCTTTAGTCTACAGGGGCAGTAGAACTGCAAATTGGAGTGCTTAAGAATAACCTTGCTAAGGTATATGAAGCTGCTAAACTAAAACAGAGCAGCTAGGTGGCACAGTGGATAGAGCAGTGGTTGGGGAATCAGGAAGATTTATCTTTATGAGTTCAAATCTAGCCATAGACATTTACTAGCTGTGTGATCCTGGGTAAGTCACTTAACCTTGTTTGCCTCAGTTCCGCATCTGTAAAATGAGCTGCAGAAGGAAATGGCAAACCACTTGGCCTGAAGTCCTTTCCTTTGCCCTCAATGACTAGGAGAACAAACAATGCAGAAACAACCCATATATATGCCTGTGAGGACTGCTTTTGTCCACTCCAACGACCCCAAGCATCCCAAAATGGCTTGTTGCCTCTAAAAACATTGTCCAGTATTACTAGACTCTCATGAATTGTATTCACTTTTCCCATTTCCAAGTCCAAGCCGCTTTCCCAGATAGTCCCATGGGATCATGCCATCTTTTCCAGTCTTCATCAAAATTTACCAAAGAATGATGTCTCTGGACCCTGGATTCTTCTCACCATACTGCCATCTACTGCTGCGGGTGAGAGGACTAAATTCATGCTTTTAACATATGATTAGACCCTGTTGGCCAACAGAAATTCTAAGCTGTGTATTGTATTTTAGTTAATGCTTACCTATGGGGAAGATTGAAGAGGCAGGGGACAGGATCCACTTTTTGGAGAGAGAAAGCTTGCCTAGCTGAGCTAGGTTGGGAGTTTGGAGTCATTATTGAATTAAAGCAAAGTGGGAGAAATGTAAGATTTATATAAAAGAATATGAAACCAAATTTACTATTAGATTGATTTCCTACATGCATATGAGCTAGTACAACCCAGCTGAGGACAGAAAGGAAAGCCACACCACAGAGGGGGCGGGAATGACTTGAGAAGTTCTATCTATGCCTGGGGGGGGGGGAAGAGTGTACCTGATATGATTAAAGCTTCCATTTGTCTTGCTTGCCAGTGCCTTCTGATAGTGAGACAAGGTACTTTAGGGGGGTGTATGGTGAGGCACTATCAGCTGGCGGAATCAGGAAAAACCTCATCTAGGACTGGACCTTTGGACTTTGGAGAAAACTGGGAATTCTAAGAGGTGAAGTTGGGGTTGGGATGGTGGCTACATTCCCAGTATAGATGACAAGCATGTACTGGACAGAGAGTTGGAAACGGAATGTTATGAATGAGGAATAATAAGCCAGCCCCAGTTGGGTTGAAAGTAAAGTGTATAATAGTGGGAAAATGTATAATAAGCTTGAAAAGGTGTTGTAGAACCAGGTTGTGAAGAACTTTAAATGCCAAACAATAGAGAAGGAATAGGGAGCCACTGAAGCTTTTTGACCAAGACAGTGACATGGTCCCCCACCCCATGCCTGAGCTATGTCAATCTGGCAGTTATGTGGAGGATAGATTGAAAAGGTAAGAGACCTGGGACAAGGAAACCAACCAGGAGTTTATTGCAGCAGCCCAGATGAGAGGTGATGAGGGTCTGAACTAGGGTGGTGAGCATATGAATGGAGAGAGGGACGGACTCAAGGAAGTTGCGGATGTAGAACTGACAAGATTTGGCAATTACTGGATACAGAAGGTGAGGGAGAGTGAAGAGTTGAGGGTGACTCTGAAATTGTGAACCTGGGTGACTAGAAGAATGGTAGTTCCATTGATAGAAATAGGGAAATTCAGAAGAGAATGAGTTTGGTGGAGAAAGGCAATGAATTTTGTTTTGCAGATGATGAGTCTGAGATGCCTATGGGACAGCCATTTGGAAGTGTCCGACAAGACTGTGGGCAATTTGAGACCAGAGCTGAGGAGAGAAACTAGAGATGGATGTATAGATCTTGAAGTTATCTGCACAGAGATGATAATTATACCCATAAGAACTGATGAGACCACAGAGATAAAGGGTTAAGAGAGAGGAGAGAAGGCTCATTTCAGATCTTTGGAGTACATCCACTATACAGGACAGGACTTGTACGGTGATCTAGCAAATGGGTCTGAGAAGAAATTGTAAGAAAGTTAGGAGAGGGGCAGCTAGGTGGCACAGTAGATAGAGCACTGGCCCTGGAATCGGAAGTACCTGAGTTCAAATCTGTCCTCAGACATTTACTAGCTGTGTGATGCTGGGTAAGTCACTTAATCCTGATTGCCTCCCCACCTCCCCTAGCACCCCCTCCCCCCCTGCCAAAAAGAAAAAATGGTAAGAGGTAAACCAAGTGAGCAGTGTCATGAGAACCCACAGAGGAGAGAGTATCTAGGAATAGAAAATGGTCAACAGTGTCTTAGGCTATAAAGAGGACAAGAAGGATGAGAATTCAGGAAATGACATAGGATTTGGAAATTAAGAAATCAGTGAAAACTTTGAAAAGAGCACTTTCACTTGTAATGAGGTTAGAAGCCAAGTTGTGAAAGGCTGAGAAATGAGTGAGAGGTGAGCCAGAATACAGTGTAGGAGTATAGATAATTTTTTTTCCCCTTAAGAGTTCTGCTATGAAAAGGGGGAGAGATGATAGGTTGAAAGGTCAAGTGAAGAGCTGGATTTTTTTTAAAGGATGAGGGAGATCTAGTGTTGTATGTAGGCAACAGAGAATGAGCCTATAGATAGGGAGAGATTGAAGATTAAAAATAGAGGAGGTGATTGCAGCGGGGAATCTTCCTGAGGAGATGGGAGAAAATGGTATCAAAGGCACAGATAAACAAATCAGCCAAAAAAGTTGAATTAATCCTAACTAATTAATTAATTAAAATTAATCCAAAGCTGAATTAATAGAGGCATAGTTTCTGGAATGAGGGAGACAACAAAGTCACTGAACTTCTCCTTGGTCAGATCACTTCTGAAATATTCTGTCAATGACACGGGACTGGAGTGGGCCATGTGGGACTTTGAATGTCCAGCTCCACGGAAAGTGTTTCCATAAAACTCTCTACTACATTTTTGTCACCTCCATGTCTGAATATATCTTCCTTTCCTCCCCATACTCAGCAAGCCATCTCTTGTAACACTAAAAAAAAAAAGGAAAGAAAAAATAATTTCAGCAAAACAAAGCAAACCCATCAACCCAATTTGATAGCATATGCAATATTCTAGACCTATAGTTTCCCACCTTTTCAAGGATGGGAGAAAAGTAATCCATTTTCTTATCTCTTCTCTGGGGCCAAGTCAGGGTTTAAAAAATGTAGTTTTCCAGTGTGTGTAAATATTGACTTATAGACCACTAATTATTTGACAGAGGTACTGGGGAGTAATTAGAGTTGATCATTGTCCTTTTAAATTCAATAAGAAATGAAGAAAAAGCATCTCTGAGATAAATGAATGAGAAAATAGGATTCTTCTCCTACTTACTCCTAATTTTTCGGCTGGGTCAACTCTATCAGGAAGCATGAAAGAAAACCCAGAACTCTCCATAGTACATGTAAAGAATCAAAGCTGAATCTACTTTTTTGGTTTCAGAGTCAACCTCATGCCCTGTTCCTTCCTTGACTCTGGCCCCAAACACAAACTCTAGTTATTAGGCCACCACAATCCACTTGTCCATATCCTATTCTGGCAGCATGGGGTAGGGAGATAGAGATTTAGCCTTGGAGGGAGGAAGACCTGGGTTCAAGTCCAGTCTCCAACACATAGATTGTGGACAAGTCACATAACCTACTGCTGTAGTGTGGTATGGTGGCAAATAGCATTGGATTTGGAATTAGAAGACCTAGGCTCAAGTCCCATCTCTCCTAGCTGTGTGACTTTAGGCAAATTATGTACCTTCAGTGACCCTCAGTTCCCCATCTGTGAAATGAGGGAAAGCGATTTAGACTAAATGACTTTTGAGGTCCCTTCTAGTTCTAAATCTATGAGACCTCCTCAATGTCCATGGTAATTCTCTAAAACCAGAAGTTACAGAAGAGCTGCTGATACACTTTAGTGGAAAGAGTTTCAACATTGGGAAGTCTTTACACAGAGGAAATCATGGACCCTATTCTGAGGCAGTTGTTTTGGACCAAGGTGAGTTCTTGCTTAATTTCTCCTTTCAAATTCTTCCCTCCAAAGGAAAGGCTGTGATCATTATTCCTAGATGTTTTGTTCTCATGCATATCATCATAGGTATATATCACTACCCTGCTCTTGTGGGAGTTCATGGTTTTGTCAACTTCTGGTGTCTTCTTCTTTATCTTCTGTTCTTTTCTCTCCCTTGCCCCTCGTCTGAGGATCTTAGGAATGAAGATGATTGGGTTGGAGGTGAGTTTCTCTAGGCCCGTGGCTGATTGGGTAAATGGGATGTAGGCCACATAGGGAATAGGGTTAGGAGAATGGTGTTGGTAGAATGATATAGCAGAAATGGGGAGAGCGGGAAAGGATTAAAGAACTTTTTCCTGAGTCCCCAAACAGGTCACCCAGACTTTAGACCACTTTAGAAGCTAGAGAAGCTGGAGTATACTCTGCCTTAGACACAAGTGGGCCCTTAGATCATTTCCATTTAACTACCACCATCCCCACCCCACCCCACCCCACTCCAGTGATGCAACAAAATGCAGTTATGTTTATGCAATTTTATTTTCTCAGTGGAAAGGCATGTTAGGTGGAGGTGGCCCTGTCATCCTCCAAGAAGGGGCAGTGCCATGGATGCAGCCAAGGACCATCAGAAGGCACAGCTGCTCTCCACAAAACGGCGGCACTTCATGACCCGGAGGTAGGTCTCGGCTTTGTGCAGGTCCTTCTTGAAGCAGGAGAGCAGCCCATAATTCTTGAGCAGTGCCTCATCACTGCGTAGGTTGGTGTCAAATTTGTCATAGGTTGTCTTGAGGACCAGGCCACCCCTTGAGCTGCCATCCTCCAGCTCCTTAAAAGAGAGGGGAAGAGGGGTGTCAAGGGGGAATCTTTTCCATCTCACCTATTCCTTCTTCGCTTCCCATCTGGGCTTGAAATCAAGAAAATGAAAAGAAAGTGGGATCATTGGCTCAAATGAGAAAAGTAAAGAAAGAGAATGGTTTCTTTAGCCATCAAAAAAGGCCTTGGATTCAGGGTCTTCTGAAAGAAAGGAGGAGTGGCATCCCTCTTACTTCTCTTGTCCCCTCTTGATCTCTCCTTCCCCTCTTCTCCCCACCAGCCATGATTAAGCTAGAAAAGATCCTAGACCCCAGGTAGGGCTACCGGAAGTAACTTAGCGGACAGGAGTGAGGCTTGGCTCCTGAAGTATGCCAGGAGCTCCCCTCCAACCTTACCTGCATGAGAGCCTGGATCCCTTCTTCCAGGTCCCTCAGCTTCTCATAGACCCGGTCTGAGGTACCGAAGACCAGGCTGTTGGTGAAGACCCTGCTGAGGAACTGCACAGGGCTGAGCCACGATTGGATAAGGAGAAGGGAAAAACGAAGCAATTCCACATCCTGCGGATGAAGGAGAGGGGAGGAAAGGGGGAAACTGTGAGCAAGAACATTTAAAGGGAACTCTAGAGCCAGGAAAGGGCTAATTCCATTCAAGAACTGTCTATTAAGGGCTGATTCTAAAGACTAGAAGCTTGACCTACAATCTTCTTTTGTTTTTTCCTGTTCTTCCCATTTTAATTGGTATCTTATACATTCAGAATAAAAATAAATTTAAAAAAATTAAGATCCTATTATGTACAAAGTACTAAATTAATCTGCCCTGGGCACCTGCTCCTTCCCTGGACAGCTGTTCTAATATCCCAGGCCCTGAGTCTTCTTGATTCGAAGTGAGAGAGCTAAAGAAACAACTCTAATTTTGAAGGTGAAGGGAAGAGAGGAAGGAGGGGGCTGCTCAGACTTCTTGGGGCATTGGCAGTACTCAGCTTCGGGGGGACTGACTCCTCAGGTTCTTTCTTTGTTTTACCTGGAGAGAGACAAGAGGCTGGGGGTGGGGGTGGGAAGGGGTGTCACTCACAGATCTCTGCTGGGCCTCATCCTTGCCAGTAGGAGCTGGGATGGTCTCAGAGAAACAGAAAGCTGTCTGGGTACTCTGGATGGAATGTCTCTGTGCCTCTGGAATGTATGTACGCTCCTGCGTAAATAGCCAAACAAACGTAGTGAGTGGCCAAAGCCAGGACCAGGGCCAGATACAAGTACCTCTTCTAAGAAACACTTTCTCCATCCCCTCTCCACCTCCTCCCAACTCTGATCACTCCACCATTTTGAATCCCCCTCAGTGCTTATACTTTTTTCCATGTGAATGTCCAAATTGAATTTATCTGACTCCCCTTTTCAGCTCCCCAGTACTATCAACAGGACCCCTGGCTCACCACTTTGGAGCCTTCTTTGATACTTTTCTTTGACCTCTTTACCCATCCATTCAGTGACCACCTAGTCTTTCCAGTTCTCCCTGAATGATTTCTCTACATTCCTGCTACCATCATCTTAGCCCAGGTCCTTACTCCTACACACTTGGGCTATTGACATAGCCTCCTTCCTGACCTCCCTGACTTTGGTGTTCTCTCTTTGTTCAATCTATTGCACTATGAATCATCTTCAAGGCAAGCTGCTTACAGGACTATGGTAGCTTCTGATTTCCTCTCATATTGAATTAAAGTTTGTACAGATCCCCCTCCACTGCCATGTCTTTGCTCTGCTCCAACCTCCCTTTACCCCAAGTCCCCATCTCTCATGGACTCACAAACTCCTTGTATGTGTCAGCAACCAGCTGGTGCAGATGCTGAGCACGAAGCACAGCATTGGCAAAGAGGCTAGACAGAGGCATGGCTGGGAAAGCACCAGCCCTCTGTGGCCCCAGCAAGGTGAAAGTGATGAGAAGCAACAGAGAGGCTCGAGTACCTGGAAAAAGAAAGAATGAGTTTCTCTATCCCATCACTAGCTTCACGGGTGCCTGTCCTGATCCCATAAGAACCTCCTCTTTCCAGCTCATGGTACCTGGATGATGAACTTGGCACCCAGCCCTCATCTCTGGACCCTTAGTTTCCATTTTCCCATGATTCCTCATTCCTGAACTCCAATTTTGGCATTTGATGGTCTAAACTCTGGCACTTAGAGTCTCATCCCAGGTACTTAGTTCCTCTCCTGGGGACAGGAAGTGTTTTAAATGTTGTTAAACTTCTGAACCAAGGAAAGACTCAAAAGAAATTTCCTTCTGTATTCAGATGCCACAACCAAGGCTCTGTTTGCCCCTCAGTTTACATCATTATTCCCATCTCTGTTTCCTGGTAAATCCCCTAGAAGGCTGTCCCCAGGGGTCTTCCCTCTTTCTCAGCCCTCCTAGGTCCCTTCTCCAGGTTTCCCTTCTTTCTCACCACCCATTTGGGAACTAGTTAAGATTCTCTGTTGTCTTTGGGCATAGAAAGAGGATGGGGACCTGTTGTTCTCTTTCCCCAAAAAGGTTAGAATAGGGGTGAAAGAGATGAAACTGGAGGAATGGAAACTAATAACGAGGAAAGATTTCTGACAGGGAGGGTATAAAAACTATTGGTCCAAGAGGGAAGAAAGGGAGCAGGGGAATGGATGATGGTCTTTGAGATATCTGGGTAGAGTACCTGGAGCCATCTCCACTGGACAAGCTGGTCACAGGATCCTGGTCGACGTAGGTGGCTGAGTCCTAGGTCTCTGGAACTGCTCCCCTCCAACACCTCCTTATACCCTAGTCCCCCCTCATCTCCCCCACCTTTCTCCTCCATTATGCATTGCTTAGTACGACTAGGGGCTGAACTGATGGATAATTTAAAGGCAGAAATGCTGAATCTTCCTCCCACTCAGATTCTGTTTCATAGCTTCTTCATCCCTTTCTGGGGTGTCATTCTCCCCCCTCTGTACCCAACCTTTAGAGCCTTCTCACCTGCTTTCCCCCCTCCCACCTCCCTTCACACATGAACATTGAGCGTGTGTCTGCCCCACCTGCCTTAGCCTGAGGACTCTGTGTTCTCCCTGAATCCTGAATATTTGAACAAATGCAAAGAAAATATCCAGGAAGAGAAGCAGATAGAAGGGATTCAGGGCTAAAGGAATTGGGGGGGGGGTGAAATGGAGAGGGGCAGCCCCTATAGCAAATTCTCAGCATTTATCTGGAAAAGAAATGGGTGTGTTTAGTGGGTACCATGATGAAAACATTCCGTCTTTGTCCTTTTTTTTTGGCGGTGGTGGTGGGAAGCAACAGTGGTCTATGTCCTTTAAAGCTCTAATATCATAGGATTGTAGGTTAGAGTCCCATCCTAGCCCCAAATCTTGACTATTTGGAGAAAAAGTTGGGATAATCCCTCATTGGAAGTACTTCTGAACACTTTTTACTCACACTCTACTTCTCTCTTTCAGCCCAGAGAATAGGTCTATATTGGCCATCAGTCATCAGAGGGTTGTTCAGGGAAGAAAGCCAGGTTCTTCTCTGCTCTCTGCCCCAGTCAGGCCCTAATGCCTTCCTTGAGCTTTGGGGCTGATGCATACGGTACACTGGAGAGCACTACCTCAAAGAGGGTCATATGTTCCCTATGGGCTTAAGGACCCTTGGTTTGGAAGCCTGGGTCTTGCTGTGGATCTTAAAGATTGAGAATTTGGGGAGGGAGAGGTAAATCCTCCTCCTTCCTCTAGTAAGAAAGAAAGAAAGTAGACAGCCTCTCTGTGTTTGGGGGTAAGTGTTTCTAGTGCTATGTCAGGCCTAATCCAACTTTGAGGGGGGAGAGGTGTTATGGATGAGAGGTCAGTTTCTGAAATCAGTGAAGCAGGAAGGTGTCCCAGAAGACTTGGGCAAATCTTATGGTGCATCTTCTCTACTCCCATTTTATCAAGGAAAAGCCAGATTCATGTGAAAATAAAGAATATCCTTAGAGAGAATGTCAGAGCTGGAAGGGACCCTAAAGACCCACTATTTCAGTCCCCTACTATTGCAGATAAAAAGGCACAGAAGAGCAGCTCAGTGGAAGGAGGACATAAAGAGAGGCAAAGACAGTCTTTATACCTTATCTTAGTGATGGGGGAATTTGCTATTATTTGCTGCATAGGTTGGCTCATTTGTGAGTGGACTGGAGAGGAACATTGGCGGAAATTATGATGAGGGAAAAACAAAATAAAAACATACATATACATATATACATATATATATATATATATATATATATATATATATATATATATATATATATATATATATATATATATACACACACACAAACTTTTTGTCTGAAACAACCTGTGATTTCATTAGTATAGTGAACTTTTTTTTTAAGCTAGGCAATGGGGTTAAGTGACTTGTCCAGGGTCATACAGCTAGTAAATGTCAAATATCTGAGGCCAGATTTGAACTTAGGTCCTCCTGACTCCAGGGCTGGTGCTCTCTCCACTTGCACCACCTAGCTGCCGCTATAGTGAATGTCTGATGAAGAAACTTCCTCTATCAATGCAGATCAAATCAGCTGTTGTTGTTCAATTATTTTGGTTGTATCTGACTTTTTGTAACCCTATCTGGGGTTTTCTTGGCAAAGACACTAGAGTGATTTACCATTTCCTTCTCCAGCTCATTTTACAGATGAGGAAACTGAGGCAGTGACTTACCTAGGGTCACATAGCTAGTAAGTATCTGAGGCCAGATTTGAACTCAGGTCTTCCTGAGTCCAGGCCAGGAGCTGTATTTATGCCACCACCTTAGCTGTTGATTAAATCAGTACTTGCTCTAAAATTTTTGGTGTTAAAGAGTTGACTCACACAGAATCAGGACTTGAAACTTGATGATGGTGATGATGATGGTGGTGGTGGTGATAAAGATGATGGTGATGGTGGTATTTTACCATTTATATACCACTTTAAGGTTTTCAAAACACTTTGCAAACATTATCTCATTTCAACTTCACTTAACTGGGTGAGACAGGATCTACATAGATTTATTATCCCCATTTTACAGATAAGGAAATTGAGGCTCAGAAATTAAATGACCTGTCCAACATCACACAGTAAGTCTCAAAGATGAGATTTGAACCAGGGTCTCTATGAGTCTACTACAAGTCTAGCACATGGCTGCCTGATTTTTTATGTTAGAGCTTCAAGTGCTCTGGCTCTGGTCTCAGGGAGCAAAAAGAAACATTGATCCATAGATCCCCCATCAATGGGAAAACAAGAGGGGGAAATGGAAGGAACTGGCTCTTTGAAAGATATTAAAACTTGGTGGGGTGAGGGACAGGGTTCCTTCCCAAAGTTCCCTGGAACATAGAGTCTTTTCAATCAGTCTGAGTATTGTGGAGTGAGGGGAAAAGAGACTTCCTTAGAAGACCTCCTTAGGGTTCTTCCCAGCTCTGCCAAAGTGAAGGAACCAGTCAAGAAGTGGTGGTGGGAGGGTCCCTATGCCCCACATAGCTCCCTGTGCCTCATGCTCCACTTCTGACTATACCATTTGGTGAAGGAAAGAGAGGACTTGACAGGGCACCAGTCACAGAAGGGGCTTTTGGTTCAGACCTGGGACCTGGGGGGGTTATTGATCTGTCTTTTTGGGTGGGGGTATAGAGTAGAGATTTGGGGGAAAATCTTAGGCTTCCTGAGGAGAGTCTTTGAACTTGTCTGCTTTAAAACTATATATAGAGCATATGGGTTCTTTTCTTTTTTCCCTAATCATCTTCAGAAATAGACCTAGTGGTTGGCTTGGGGGAGAGGGAAGAAAAAAAAAAGGAAAAAATTACATGGTAAATTTATTATATATTTAAAAGGAATAGCAAGTTGTATATAATAGATTTGCCATCACATGTACAATCATCTTTTTTATTATTCTACCATGTTATGCAAATGCCTTTTTATTTCATTAATTAAAAATAAAATTTAAAATTAAAAAAAACCTACAGATAGAACCTGAGTTGTAGAAGGTGTGGCATAGGAAGGAGGGGGAGAGCTGGGAGGAAGAGGAGGAGAAGCTATGGATGGGAAACTATAGATGAGAATTTGAACTAGCAGATTGTTGAGGAAACCAATCAGGTTAAACCCAAGGATGAGATGTAGCTGGCAACAGATCTTGGAACCAGGAGGAGACAGGAAGGACAGATGCTCCCTTCAGGGTCACGGATCAGGGAGATGACCCAGGAAGCCTAGAGGTCTAGACTGTGTTCAGACAACTGCTCAGAACCAAGAGTGAAGGAACTGAAAGAGAAAAAAGGGATGGCTACTTTGGAATGGTACCCAGAGCAGATGTTTGACTATTTGGTCCTCCTATATCCAGGAACATTTTGAATAGATTTGTGAGTTCATTTCCTCCCTACCCTCAGCTGCTAATGGCTGGGGTGGGATCGTACTGAGCCATCCACTCTTATGACCCATGTGTGGAAAACAGCCAATCAAAGTTCTTAAGAATATTGGAATTGATAGCCTAGGTCAGACCCATGGTCTGTCAAGACCAGGATTCTGGCTCTAGATGTTATGATCCTGGTTATCCTCTCTGATGTCTACCTCAGAATGTCCTGTGTTTCTCAGCACTGTCCCATCATCCATTAATGTATTCCAACATCTCTTGAAGTTGTTTATATTTTCATTCTTGACCGCTTTGGGAGGAATGAACCTACTGGGTAGGGTTGGCTGTCTTTCATGGCTCCAAGCTTACCTCTTTCAAACTCTAAGTGGCCCCCTTAGTTCTAGCATGATCAGATTGGGTGAACAAGCTCTTTCATGGTTTCATAGATTGCAGTCTGTCCTCATATGGGTCATAGGATCATAGATCTAGATGTAGACGGGACTTCAGATGTCATCAAATCCACACATACCCTCCCCCTGCCCCTCTCATTTTACAGATGAGGAAACTGAGATCTAGGGAGATCGGGACTTGCCTAAGTTCACACAAGTAGTAAGAATGAGAGGTGAGATTGGAACTCAGTTGTTAGATATGTCCCTCCTTCCTCTTGAGTGAAACAATGTAAACAATGTGAGATCTCTCAGATCACTGAGTGTAGCACTTTCCTAGACTGTTACAAACTCAAGGTTGGTTACACTAGCCTCAGTAGGCCTAGGTTTCAGGTTCTTAGAAAACACATGATTTGTCCTGTTACATCAGCATTAGGTAATGGCTAATGCTAAAAAAGGATAAAATAGCTAGGATTGGTAGTATCATAATGAGATTCCTTGTTTCTGGGGTAGATTTTCGCGTTTTAGATTGTAAGGCTGAAATTCCTGTCCAATGGGAATTTAAGGCCAGTGGTGGGTGGGTATCTCTGCATTAGGACTATATAACCTTTGTTCTGGCCTTTGTGCCTTTCCTCGCTTCGCTCGGACTGCCAGACGAAGCAGACGCCCGCTTCTCGCAAGAATGTAATAAATCTTTCACTTTATACCTAGAAAATCTCTGAGTGTTGTTTTTGGATAGCTGTATCACACATTCTCCTCCCCCCACCCAACAGATCCCTATCCATTTTAGCTACTCTATCCCAACTTCACTAGTCCATTATAAAGTACCTGAGTTCCAGAAACCACCACTGTACCCAGTGTTTCCAGGCATAAAAGAGATCATGTCTTCTATTCAGTTTGCTTGGTTGAACACCAGCTCATTGTACTGGCATCTTCAGAGATTAATATTATTTTAAAATTTTTGCTTTTATTTATTTATTTTTTGATGAGGCAATCAGGGTTAAGTGACTTGCCCAGGGTCACACGGCTAGTAAGTGTCAAGTGTCTGAGGTCAGATTTGAACTTAAGTCCTCCTAACTGCAAGGCTGGAGCTCTA